CCTTTCCCTTTGAAAACGTCTATAAGCACACAGCTACAATTTTATACTATAAAGTGTATAACAAAGTTTTTAACTTGTTGGTCCTCCTTACCCAACCCCCAACTTAGTTTTCAAATATTTTCTTTCTAGTAGCTGAAGATAGCTTTATTTCTAAGCTATTTCTAACAGGTGACTTCCATATGTGTTCTCAGTCACTGTTTCACTCGTGTAAGCTTACGGGCTGAGGGCTATGCCTCCTCATTCTAAGGCTCTATCGAGTCAGGAATAGCACAGCATGCACTTGCTGTGTATTTACAGAAATAAACAGAGGGAGTGCTGACAAGATAGGTTCCTTTTATGAAAATGACACAAACTCCTTCCTCCCTCCCTCCCTCCCTCCCTCCCTCCCTCCCCCCTCCCTCCCTCCCTCCCTCCCTCCCTCCCTCCTTCCTTCCTTCCTTGTATCGGTGCTACTAGTGATCAGAAGCAGTGAGGTAGAAATGCTGGCACATCTCCCCTCTTTCAGAAGGACGGTTTATTTTTAAGGAGCGCCAGGAGTGTCAGGTTTCCTAATCTTAGAGAACCCCCCTAATGGAGAATACTGTGTCCTGCACTATGAATCCACAGACAGCCCATGAGAATCCCATCGGGTTAAGTGCAGGTCTTTGTACTAGGCATGGTGGCACATGCCTGTATAATTACAGCACACTGCAAGTAGAGGTCCGGGAATCAAGAGTCCTAGGCTAGCCTTAGCTACACACCAAGTTCAAGGCCATCCTGGGCTACATGACATCATGTCTCAGAAAACAACAAAACAAAACAAAAACTTCAAACCTTGCTTTTGATAGCTGTGTTTTTAAGGATTATGTGTGTGTGTGTGGGGGGGGGTCTGTGCACATGGACACAGGTATTCAAAGAGGCCCTGGAGCTGGAATTCCAGTAGTTCTGAGCTGCTCAAGGTAGGTTCCTGGAACTAAACCCTGGTCCTAGGGAAATGTAGTGCACACTCTGAACTGCTGAGTCATCCCTCCAGCCCCAATAACTATAATTTTAAAGGGAAAGTACAAAACAACGTAAAAGGCACACATGAAAGGTGAGAAAAGCCTTTTAGATCCGTTTCACTTTTTTTTTTTTTGAAACCTATGGAACGACTCTGAATCACTGTGGCCCTTTGGGAGGCTGCGTGTAAGTGCAGATGAATTTTTGCTCAGATGATTTCCCTGGCTTTAGAGGCAGGACTTAGCTGGGCACTCTGTTGACAACTGTGGATTTTTAGTTTTTTCTAGTTGCATTGGTGGGACGAGGAGTCTTCTTGGTACAGATTTTTTTTTCCTCTAGGCCTTTCTCACAGCCCTTTTCTGGTGTCTAAGTTTGTCATAGGTGCAGCTATAAATCAGCTGAAAATTTCAGGGGGTCCCCCTGCAGACCTACTGAGTGCCCCCTCCTTCTTTGTAGCAGTCTATTTACCCACTCTTTGGCCTGCAACCTCTACCCTCTGGGTTCAGTTCAGAGAGGTGACAGATCCTGTCGCTCTGGGGTTGGTCAGAAACTCCCTTTTTTTTTTATTTTTCAGTTTAAATTTAGATAAGAAACAAGGTTGCTTCACAAGTCAGTTCCAGAAACTCTTAAAGCGGAGGAGCTGGGCAATCCTGGGTTTCTTGGTTCATGTCACTCTCCCTCTCGCCTAACGCCCAGGGAAGGGAGGAAATCTGGCCCGACACACCATCTTGCCCAAAGTCATTCTCTCTGTCTCTCTGTCTCTGCTCTCTGTCTCTCTTGTCTCTGTCTCTCTCTGTCTCTGTCTCTCTCTGTCTCTGTCTCTGTCGATCTCTCTCTGTCCCTCTCTGTCTGTCTCTCTGTCTCTGTCTCTGTCTCTCTCTGTCTCTCTCTCTGTCTCTGTCTCTGTCTCTCTCTCGTGTGTGTGTGTGTGTGTGTGTGTGTGTGTGTGTGTGTGTGTTTGTAAGGTAGAAATTCCACATAATTTGCTCAAAATGACTCTTAGGATAAGAAACACATGACTCAGAAGTGCCTGGAACACTTATCCATTCAAATTTCTGAGCTTCCTCCAAACTGCTCATCCAGGATCTCCCCAAGTGAGGCCCTGGGACCATTTCAGTAGCCCAGGGCCTGGACACACCCAATGAAGAATTCTGAAGGGTGGACCTCAATACAGCATGGGTTGTAGTCAAAAAAGCCCATGGATGCAGAAAGTAGGGATTTTGGCTTGAAATTCTTGCAGGGCAAAGCTCCTTTCTCCTGATAAAGGGCTGCTTGTCCAAGGAGCCATCATATTATGTTTACAGGGAAAGTCACAGGTTCTTCAGCTGTGGACAAAGGACTTTGGGGCTAAGGGTTCATCAGTAACTTGCTTATTTTGGTTGTAGAATGCCACTTGTCCCAAAACACCAGAGTATTTTCTTTTGAAGGAAAACTTAGGCAAATGGCATTTAGTATTTTTTTTTCTCTTTTGAGAGAGGCAGATTTGTAGACTGTAGGGACAGACCTCTGAAAGCTGGCGTGGGTGAGAGGGGACAGGGATCTGTGCAGTGACATAAAAAAAGTAAGACTAAAGGCAGGAGGAACATGGGTCACTGAGGCTGGGAGGAGCTGCGGGTGGCGCTTCAGTGGCTGTAGAGTGTGTACCACTGACTCATTGCCTAAGGATCACAAGACTGGGAGGGACTAAGGGCATTACTTTCCTTTGAACCTGGAGTTTGTGTGTCCTGTCTGAGACACACTGGCAACTGGCAACTAAAGTCTCTCCCTCAGAGGAGCCTTCATCATAGATAGCATGTAGTCTTTGGTTAAGAACTTGCTAGAATCTCAAACTGCATTGAAGGCTACGTGCTTTTCACTTTCTTGTATGATAGCTGGGAGCCTTGCATATCCAGTAATACTGAGGATGGTGACAGCCATGGGAAAGATGTTTCCTAAACTTTGTCCAGTATTCACAGAGATTATTTCCCAGGCTTTCTAAGAAAACCTAGAGTTTTGTGATGGAGCAACTGTGTGCACAGACGTCACTTGTGCTAAACAACCGTCAGTGCCACACATGGGCCTTAGTTTCCGCTGAGTATTGGATTCTGCACATGACATACTTTGCTTTCCTGGAAAGGGTTGGTCTTGCGTGAACCCACACTGGTGTTGGTCAATCACAGCTCTTTTCTCTTCATTCCTGGAAGCGGGAAAACAAGGAATGTTCCCTATTCTCAATAATAGCATGCTTTTTAAGGATAGCACTGAATCTATTTGTTGTTTGAAGAGTCACACTGTTTAAGTAGAACTGTATTGGGAACCAGGAATCTTGTTCTTAGGTCTTGACTCTGTTCCTAAGTAGGTGAGACAGCCTGAGTGATATTCTACATGTAGAACATGAAAGAATATAAAAAAAAACCTGACATTATATCTGACTTCATCCAAATTGTATAATTCTATGTTGCCCATTTAAACTGTGGTGACACAAATTAGTGGTTGACTGGCTTGGAGACTATAGAGATGGGTGTTCCTGTAACAATCACTGTCTAATTTGTTTTTAAGATCTTATTTTTATGTGTATAGGTTCTTTGCCTGTATGTGTATCTATGGCCCACATAAATGCCTGACGCCTGTGAAGGTTAGAAGAGGTAGTTGATCCCTGTAACTGGTGTTCCAGATGGTTGTGAGCTGCCATGTGGGTGCTGGGAACCAAGCCTGAGTCCTCAGAAAGAGCAACAAGTGTTCCTAACTGCTAACTTCTCTCCAGCTCCTCACTGTATAGTTTTAAACAATAAACTCCAGTAATCAGGTCTCACATCACTTTGTTATAATTTTTGACTGACTTGGTAGAAATGTATTTGCCATACAATTCAACCATATCCTTGAATCAGACAGTATAGAGAAACAGAACTGAAAATGTGTGTTTGTCATCCTCATAGTCCCACTAAGCTGAGCAGTGACCCAGGCTGTGTCCGTAGCAATGAATCTGCCATATCCGGTAAAATAACCCCAGCTTAACAGCCTTGCATTTCTTCATCCATGTTGATTTTGCTATCTCGTGTGAAATCTTACCCCATTAAGCAAACACACTGGTAGGATTTTGTTATGGATAACAGCTTCTTTGCCACGTACTTGGTGTTCTTATAATAGGTCTGGAATCATTAACCAAGTTTGTGGACCTGGTGTATGATTTGCTCACCAATGAGAACAGGCATGCTCACTGGCTCAACACGGGATAATGTTAATGGAGACATAAACTAGTGCCCGAAGTCAGACATGTCCACACGTTCATTACTCGTGACATGCAAGAAGTCATGGGCAGATGTCTACCTGGTGGAATAGCCTGGGCTTAGACAACTAACATTGCAGGGATTATCTGGCAGAACATTAACTGAGGCAAAGAGAAAGGAGCATGGAGCCTACCCTCCTCCTTCGTTACTGAGACATTCATTTACACTCAGACGCTAATGAATTAATTGAGGCAATGGCGACTGAACATTTGTATTTGGGAGGCAATCGTTTTGCCACTGAGCTGTCTAGATCTCTAACTCTTATGTGTGCTCTTTAACTACCCCCCCATTTTTGCTGCTTATTATCTATTTAATTATTTTTTTATTTTGAGATATTGTCTCACTAAGTTGTCTAGGCTGGCCTTAAATTTACCAGACAGGCCATTGACTTGAAATTCTCCCGCCTCAGCCTTCTGGTTAGCTGGGATTATAGGCCTGTGTCATCAGGAGCAGAAAACATTGTATTAAAAAATTAATTAATTGACCCATCAACTATTAAAAGTATTCACAAAAAAGATGTATATTCTGTTATTCTCTATGTACATAATTTCCCTGTAGTTTAGTGCAGCTCATGTTTCCTTTGGCATCCAAGTCTTTTGAGTTGGGTGTCTGGCTGGTTTATCCCTCCAAACCCAGAGCATAATGAAGCCAACTGTAATCTCCAATAACTGTTAAAACCATGAGTGTTCAATGGATGCACACTGGTGTTGATGTTATCGTTGTTGACATTCAATTGCATTTCCTCTCTCTCTTCAGCTGGGAAGTTATCAGTTCCAAGCCAGATGAAAGACCCAGGCTAAGCCACTGCATTGCAGAATCATGGATGAATTTCAGCATATTTCTTCAAGAAATGTCTCTTTTTAAACAGCAGAGCCCTGGCAAGGCAAGTTTTGAAATACTCTGTGTAACATGGGAACAAATGAGGTGACCTGTTTTAGCTGGTAAAGTTTCTCCAATTTGAACACAGGCTGAGACGTGGCCACATGTGAAACTCTTAAGCATTTCTATTTTGTACAGATTGATTTAGCTCATTACTGGAAGAAATTGTTATTGGGCTTTGTCATACTTAAAACCAAAAGGGAATGGAAAGGGGTGTTATTTGGGACTTTGGTTAGTGTCTGGGATCTAGTTCAAAATCGAAGGCAGTTGAGATAAACATAGTTCTTTTAGGGTTTCAGAGGTAATCGAATCTCACCTACAATCTAAAAAACATAGTGGAGATGCTGGGTTGATTCATTTTAAGGAAACCTGGTGAATGTGGTGGGTCACAGTGATCTAAACACTTTGGTAGGTAGGAGGATTGTGAATTCAAGGTCAGCCTGGGTTACACTGCAAGATCCCCATCCTGAAATAACGAGAGAATGAGTGAAGAACCAAACACGCTTTAGCAAAAACATTCATTGTAGTTACACAACTGGAGTCTGGAGTAAGGGTTTTTGTTTTTGTTGCTGTTGTTGTTTTCTCTTCTGATTGAGATAAAAAAAACACTCATGGAAGAGACTTAGTCGATGAAAGTAAAATTGCATGGAGAAGTGCACACTTGAAGATTAGAATCTGTGGCTTTATTTGAGTGAGGAGCAGGGCCATCAACAGACCATGCTCGTTCCAGTTCCAGGAAAGCCTCCAAAACAATACAGAGAAACCCTGCCTTGAAAAACCAAAAAAAAAAAAACCAAAAAACAAAAAACATTAAACTATCCACCAGTAGTTGGAAGGTAGAGCTACAAATGTCAGCATTAATATCTGCATGTGCTATATACAGGCAATCTCATAACTTCACCAGTATTAATTAATAGAGCAGCCCCTGGGAACATGCTGTGCCTATTATACTGGCAGAGCTGTATCTGTAAGGATTTCTTTAACTATGAACCGTCAGTGTTAGAATTGATCCACATGAGGGGCTTGATGGATTTTAGTGCTCATTTGACCAACATGATCATATATGTTTTTAGAAGATTCTGAACTTAAAATGTCTGCTTTGGTTTACATTAATGTGCTTCAAGGCCATTAGTTAAAGGTGATGACATTGCAAAATACAGGTGATAACAAATCCTTTTGCAAAGCCAACTTCTGGGTGTATGACTCTGTATTTATTGCCTTATTTCTTCCTTCAACTTCTGACATTTCTTCATTTCTAGAATTCCATATTCTTTCAAGAGACCATACTTTTTTTCCTGAATTAGGCTCTTAATTTCATTCTATGTGTTCACCTGTTCTTTATTAGCAAATGGAATGAAATACTTCTTAACCTGAAATTTAGAGTCCTTGTTCTTTCTCTTAATCATTCCTGGCCAAAGATATGTGTCTCTCCCTATTTTTTGAAAGCCCCCCCCCCACGCACCGTGAATTTGCTTGGCACTTCCATTTACAATAATGCAAATAAATTAGATAGTTTACATAGATTGTAAAAAGCAAGTGAAGATTTAAAAGAGAAACTTTTCCTGTCTTGATTTTTCTCATGTGAATTAGGACAGTTTTCTATAGATTGTTCTAAAATTTCTGAAGACAACCAAAGATTTTTCTTTTTTTGCTTTGTAATTGACAGAGAGAAGGAAGAGAATTATATATCCCTGCAGAAGTTCCGTTTCATTAGTGGTTAGTTTTGAGGTAACCTAGATGTGGGTGGAAACAGGAAGGGTTATGATGTCCTCACATTTATGCCAGAGATTTTCCAGCAGAACAAACTACATCAGATTCCCACAAGTGCTCCTATTGCATGCTTTGACCTGTCTGTGGATTTCAATGTTTTTATGGTCATAGTTTGAAGTGCAGATTTACTTATGAGTCTGAGCAAAGTTGTTCCTGGGGACACGTTCCTATTTGAGTCTCTTGCACCTGGCAGTGATACATCAACAGGTCCAAGTAAGGGAACTTGTCATCCTTAGTGCCAGAACTAGCTCCTCTGCTTGTACATTGATTGTTATGAAGTGGTAAAATGCCTCTTTAGTGTCCCTAAGTACAAAGAGTGGTATTTGAGAAACGCGTGACATACATAATAGAACATATACAGATACATATCATGCATGTATTCTACAGTGTTTCGCATAACTGTCCCATGCTATTTCTGTTCTAGTTTTGTCTCCTGGTCTGCAGTGTGTGCACATTTTTTACAATCTTGGGGAGTTACATTCCTGGGGTCATACTCAGCTACCTACTGTGTAAGTATAGTAGAAAACTTTGCCAATTTGTATGACATGTGTGACATCATTAATGCTTATCAGATCCTGTGTAGTTTGGAAGAGAAAAGGTGTGCTCTGAATTGTCAAACAATGTCACCCCATAGATGACATTTCTCTTGTCTCTTAGAGACATTTATATGCAAACAGTTGGGAGAACATATGTAAAATGCAGGATTATAAACAGAATGTTAAATTATATCATTGAATGTATAACTAAGCGATATGCTCCACTCCGCATATACCTGCACTTTTGCCTTCATGCATGTTCTGTGACACCAAAGATAAAATCACAATGAGATACCACTATCTCTGCCAGTAATATCAAGTAAGAAATGATATAGAACCACCAGAATTCTCGATTGCTAGTGGTGGGTAGGTAGAATGGTGTAATCCTTTAAGAAAACTGTGGCTGACTGTCCCACAATTATTCACCTAAGAGAAACAGATGGATACATCTCTGTAAATACTTACGCACAAATGTTCCTTGCAGGTTTGTTTTTGGTAGCACAAAGGAATATAATTCATATGAGTCATCCAGAGACATGGATAAACTGTGTAATATCCATATAATGGATTATTGCCCAGCACTAGAAATTGATACATGCAATACTATGGATAGATTTCAAAGCAATTAGGCTGAATGGGAGAAGCACTATATATAATTCTAAGACATTCAAAATAATGGTTAGTGAAAAAGTAGATCAGTGATGGCTGGGGATGAGTTGGGTGGGGTCAAGAAGAGGTAAGAGGCAGAAAGGAAGGGTTAATAAAGACATGAAGATGCTTGCAGTAAACTGTTTACTATCGTGATTGTTTCAAGGACTCCTTGCCAGAACTTATCAAATTGTGTACTTCATGTGTAATCTGTTATATCTGAATTGCAACCCCAAAAGATCTTCAAATTAAATATTCTGCTCTTCCTAAAATACATGAAGATCAACCAGGTAGTGCCTCTGCCAACCTCACATTTCCTTTCTTATGCTGTCTTTTGAGTTTCACTGGGCTCTAAAGATAAGTGAGTAAGAGAGGACACTGTCCAGCAACAACACAATAGCAAACATTGAAAATCCAGTGCAGCCAGTGTGGCTCTTTTCCTTTCTTTTGTATTCCTAATGTGTTGGAGCTCAATTCAGTCTTCCAAATAGAACTCAGAGTACTTTCTTGATCTGCGTTACATAAGAAGTAAGTGAGAAGTGCTGGCAAAGGAGAAATAGGAGCAAGACATTATGTGGTTGGTACTGAGCTCAACTACCAGCCCAGCAACCCCATGTAACATCATCCTGGTATCACTGCAAAGAAGCTAACAATAGGAAATTATAAACGAATGTAATATTTTAGTTGAGAAAAGTGGTTATAACTTTTCTTAAATTTTCAGGGTATACAATTAAGAGAAAAAAATCAACCTAATTCCAAGTTTAAAAACAGTAGCTGTGGTTATGGTGTGTGTGTGTGTGTGTGTGTGTGTGTGTGTGTAGTAAAATGTGTTTTCATTACAGAGTAAAAATAGAGAACTTACTTGATGGAGGGATAACCTAAGAACAAAGTTGCCATTTTCTCCATGAATCAAATAGTATCTTGAAAAATGGTAAAATTGAAGTCTTCAAAACGAATACTTTACCTGCATTATTTTCTTTCTATTTCAGTACTGTTTGCTTTTTTGTGTCCACTGTTTAAATGTAATGATATCGGACAAAAAATATACAGCAAAATCAAGTCCATTCTATTGAAACTAGATTTTGGAATTGGAGAATATATTAACCAGAAGAAACGTGAGAGATCTGGTAGGTCAAGTTTGAATATTAGTTCTACGTGTGAAATGAGACTTTCACTCAGTGGTACAGTAAGAGCTAACCCCCAAAGTGTAATCGGTGTAATTTTTTCTTATATAGGCTTTCTTCTTTTCTCAAACATACAGTTAAGTAAATTGACTATAAAAATATTCACTGTGCATGTCCCCAATAACCAAGAGGGCATGGAAAGATTTTTAGAGTCAGAGGTTGGGGGTGACTCCTGCACAACACTGTCTGCTGGAAATGACACAGCAGCCGTGAACTCAGAGAGAGGTACCCTGCACAAGAAATACAGCATTTCATCCTGGAAGGGCTGGGCTCGTGAACTCCCACGGTTAACAGCAGCTGCGGGGAGGACGTCACTGTCTTCAGTAGTGTAGCACACAGCAGAGTTGCCCAGGTTTCAGGGCATTACCTCCCACCTGTGCTCACACAGGCAACCTTACCTAAACTTAGGGTTCACACACAATGACAACAAGAAAGAAGGAAGGAGACATGCAGAGAAGAAGGGCGTCATCAGGAGGATGGGAGATGAGTCACGGTGATAGGGAGGTAGATGATTGAAACCCATTATACACATGTAAGAAACTGTCCAAGGACAAAAGCATAAATAGATCACAAGATACACTCATTGGCAGGGGAAGGAGAAAGGGCTTCAGCAACTCTGATTGTTTGTGATGCACTTTATTTTATTTGGGTTGGATTATAGAAAATTCAGGGGTAAGGGGATGGGAGCCATTTAAGAGCGGACTGAATAAGGGAAAGAAAGGGCGATGGTTCCAATGTGATTTTAAAAGATTAAGATTCTATCTGTCTGTCTGTCTGTCTGTCTGTCTATCTATCTATCCATCCATCCATGGCTTTCGAGTTTCTCAGACTACAGTATGCACCAGAATGGCCTGGGGGCAGCATGCAGCAGAGAGTATGGGCCCTGCCACAGACTCTTGACTCAGGAGGTCTAGGACTGTGACTGAAAGCCTATATTGCCACAGAGTCTCCAGGGCTGCTGCTAGACGCTATGAGAACACAGATACCCATCATTTCCCCTAGAAAGCAATTGTTTGCAAATATGTGAAGCTTCTTCAGTACAAACAATTACAGGGAAGCACTAGAATGTATGGTTGGATGTGAGGTTATATATTAAAATAAATTCACTATATTCTAAGCTTGGGAGGAAACTAAACACTTCCTTTTTTCCCCTCAACAGAAGGAGATAAAGAAAAGAGTCAGAAGGATGACAGTGAATTAGACTTCTCAGCTCTTTGTCCTAAGGTATTTTTGGTCAATCTGTTTATGTGTGGTTTGGTCATTCATTTACAGAAAGTACAATGATTGTCCTATTAGTTTCTGAACATTCTTATCTATAACATGGGTTACCCTGTTTTACAAGACGGTTGGATAATCTCAAAGGAAAGTGCTCATGGCGTTTTTGGTTTCAAGTTTAGTGAGTCAGTGTGTGGTCTCTCAAGGGTTTTCTCCAGTTTCAAATGTGTTGCATTTCTATTGACACAGATTAGCCTCACAGTTGCTGCCAAAGAGTTATCTGTATCTGACACAGACGTGTCAGAAGTATCCTGGACTGATAATGGGACCTTCAACCTCTCAGAAGGGTACACTCCACAGACAGACACATCTGATGGTAAGCTGAATTCTCTTACTTCTATTGATATTTAATACACACAACACTCCTCAAATTCTGCCAACCGCTGAATGGATAAATAAAATGTGGAATATTTGCACAATTGATTAGTGCTTGGATTAAAAAATGACCGAAGTACTGATAGTTGCTATAGCATGTGTGAACCTTGAAAACACTGTGGCATGGTTTCTATTACATGATCATATATATCCTCTTTGGCTTAAGGTGGCTACCATCTTCAGGGAAGGATGGAATTATTATGATGCACACTATATTAGTTACTTTACCCATTGCTGTGACAAAGACCCGATAAAAGCAACTCAGAAGAGATGTGACTTGGGCTCAGAGCTTAGGGGTAAAGCTCATCAAGGTGGGGAAAGCATGGTGGTGAGTGCTGCTTTAGCTGCAGTGGCAAGAACACAGGGCAGATGGTCACATTGCAGCTGCAGTCAGGAAGCGGATATAAATGCATGCTGTGCTCAGATGGCTTCCTCCCTCTCTTATTCAGTCCAGCACCATAAGATGGTTCTGACCACAGTCGGGGGGGGGTCCTCCCTCCCAGTTAAACCTCTCTGCATCTTCACTGACAGGCCCTGAGGTATGTCTCCTAGGTAACAAATCGGAAATGTATATCAGAAACATCAAAACTTAGGCAAAGTTGATGGACTGTCCTTGCATACACGCTCTCATGGAATAGGAACCAAAGATACAGGGAGAACATACAGTATTTATCTACATGCGGAGAGGTCCAACATGTGGAGTCAAATGATTCTGGTCGACTGAGGAAGCTTGGTGGATGCCAAGTTGCTCTGAGGCTTTAGGTCAAAGTCATTTTAGACAGCTTTTACTTCAGATGTGTTCTGGCACTTACGCATGGATCTCTGTGACACATTTTACAGATCTTGACCGGCCCAGTGAGGAGGTTTTCTCTCGAGATCTTTCAGATTTTCCATCTCTGGAAAACGGCATGGGAACAAATGATGAAGATGAGTTAAGCCTTGGCTTACCTGCTGAGCTCAAGAGAAAAAAGCAACAGTTGGACGCTGGTCACAGACCAAGCAAAGGCGGGCCATCAGCAGCTGGCCTCTCCCTTCCTCTGAACAGTGACCAAGCCATTCACTTGATGAGCAACCTGGCTGGGGATGTCATCACAGCTGCAATGACGGCTGCCATCAAAGACCAGCTAGAAGGGGCCCGGCAGGCACTTGCTCAGTCTGCACCTACTATAGGAGAGGACACAGACACCGAAGAAGGTGATGACTTTGAACTACTTGACCAGGCAGAGCTAGATCAAATTGAGAATGAACTGGGACTAACACAAGACCAAGATGCAGAAGCACAGCACAGTAGGAAGCCTTCAGGCTTCCTTTCAAATCTACTCGGAGGCCATTAATCTGGGAATCAGCTTGCAGAAAAGCACAGACAAACCACCCAAAAATCTCAGACAAGCAGGGAAAAAAACAAACAAAAAAAAAAAAAGGAAAAAATTGACTTGTAAGCTTTAATTACTTTAGATTTTTTTGTTTTCTTTTCCCTTCTGTAGTGAGTTGGATAAGTATCAGCTGATAATGATAGACTGACATTTCTGATAGCTATTTTTATGTAATAAGCATGGAAATGAACTTTATAGTTACATATATACATACTGTGGTGTCATAAGTGAATAGGGGTTGTTTTTAAAGAGAAGAGAAAACAAAACCAAACCCATCAAACTTAAGATCTCCCTAGAAGTATTCTTCTTCTTTATAGTTCTCAAGCATGCAGAGATTATTCTTAACTTGCTGAAAAGTAACAATTGTGAACAAATGTTGTATCAGCTCCTTATTGCTCACACTTGGAAGTAGTTTTTCAAACCTTGCTAGATTTTAATGGAAAAAGGGAGAAAATATCAAAATGTTTGTAGTTGAAGGGCTTGGGAAATGCTATCAAAATTAATTTTCTAAGGAAAACTTTAAAAGTAAGTACTACCTATAGGCAGAAATATTTCCATGTTATCTCTACAGCTGTAGACCTAGGCTTACTTGTATGTGGCAATCTCCACTGACTGCCACATTTAATCTTAAAAGGTGATATTGATTCACAGAAAGCAAGCAGTTATGTATCCCATAATGATGCTTTAGTTTTGTTCTTTTTTGCCATGTTAGCAATGAGGAGGTTGTAAGTGCAGATCGATTTTGCACACTCAAATGTAAGTAAAACCTGATGTTTTCATATTGTGTTGCAGTCTTCTAAGATGGTGAAATTAGTTACTGGTATGTCCTATGAGTGATGTAGTCACTGGTGATAAAATCAACTGTTTTTCTTTTTAGTTTGCAGATGCAGAGGAGAGGAACTTGCTTGAACTTTAAAGTTATTTCTTTGCTACTACAGTCTAAATATGCAATTTGTTTCTTACTGGGAAGCTAAAATATATTCTTAACTTTAAACTTTTTCCGATCACCTTTACATAATCAAATTTGCCTTACAGTGGAAACCAAGATAGTTGTTTTTGTGAAACAATCTTTTAGTAGTACTGAGGGACCATGTCAGCAACTATCTTAAATCTTCAGTTTTAGCTGGCATTTCTACACAGACACACAAGACCCTTAGCAAGGAAAAGTAACCTACGACTACAAAAAAATGTTTTCTTTCGGTTTCATCCCTTTTATTTCTAAAGACTAATTACAAGCAACTTGAAATGTTAATGTACCATCTCTTATTTATTTTTTCTTTCTGAGGTATTAAAATATCTAGACTGAATTTTGCCAAATGTAAAAGGGAGAGGAGTTACTGAAGACTTCGAATAATTGCTTTTTTTGATCGATGTTCTATGCTTATGTCATTAGTGCCTCACGACTGTGTTTGGTGTTCTTTATTGATACAAAGTGAGCCTGTGCCTTCATTATCTTGCCCATTTTGGTACCAATGTAAATTTGTGTTAGAAAATCTTGGAACTGTGTGAGTCTGGGAAGACTGTATCTGAATTCTATTCAATACATTTGCTGGATGTGAAGAAAAATACAGCCACATATTTATAAAATAGTTGTTATCAGTACTCCTTTTTATGTGTATGTTTCTTTATTTATAAAATACTCTCACATTAAAAAAACAACAAAACAAAGGTTACTCAGTTTCTTCACTAAAGAAAAAAAACTGATCATTGATCAAAGAGTGTGTTTTAAGTCACTAGACAAGCTTACAAGATAAAATAAAAAATGCTGAATAGTGATGGTCTGAACAAAAAGAAATCTAGTCTAAAATATCACTAGATACAAATTAAAAGTTAGTAGGGGAAAATAGTCACCATCCTGGGGGAGTACCAGAGAAGTGCACTGTAGTCACATACATTTCCGTATGACTTGTACAAGAATCTGTAATTATCCATTCACAGCACAGAAAGAAAACTCCACCCAGACTTTGACTTCAGATGTGTGTTGAAGTGTGTGTGTACTTCTGTGGGAACAGTGTTTCCCCCTTTCAAGCTATAGTAGCAAATAAACCCTAAGAGTGATCTAGTTTAGGAGAGAACTACATATCCACTGCCATGAGAATTTACACAAACTGCACGATTTTCTCACTCTGTAAACAACTGGATAAAAAATGGTTTGTAAGATCCTGGTGGAGTGTTGTCATTTGAATGAGAATTACTTTAATTATAGAGGAGTTACAGAAAAAGTTTTCTCATTTCCTGAAGAAAGGGCAGACGATACAATGGGAACAGCACACACTGACCATGTATATTGCTAAGAATCAATACAGCCCTACTCAGCAATCTGATGTCTGAGGTGGAAGGTTAACCTGGGCTTGCAAATTCTCCTTCTAAAAACACTATTGCTTTTCACTACACTAAATATCTTCAAAGGGGATTAAATTTCATTCTGCTTATCTTCGTAGGCTATGGGGAAAACACAGTTACAAATTTTTTGTAATTATCAAATATCCTCATATTGAAGTATTATGTTGTGGGAGGGTTCTTTTTATGTTGTTCAAGTTGGCCTTGAACTCATGGCAGTCTTACTGAGTCAACCTCCTGAGTGCTGAAATTAAGGCACTTACTTAAATGTGTGTGTTTATTTAAATAAGCACAACATTCTCCTTTTTTAAAACTGGCAAATGTTACCATGCTACTGTTTTTGTTTTTGTTTTTGTTTTTGGCTAGAAGTATATACACATTTAAGGAAAAAATAGCTTTATTAGTTGCAGGAAATTACCATGAAACTCTTAGTACACTGTTGTCACAGATCATGGAAGTCCCAGAACTGTATAAATGCACACTGTCCCTCCGTGTTCACTGCAGCACTTGGGTTAGAATGTGCTGTAGAAAGATGTCCTAGCTTAACAGTCATCATTGTCAGCAGATCAGCTGGGAAAACTCACAAGGAGCTCTCAGGATTGGACCTGTTGACATTCCCTTACAGAGGGGATGGGGAGGGTCATCCGATTGTCACCTGAAATCTTAGCCACTTGCTCCTGAGCCTTCCTGCCAGCTATACATAATTGTGCTTTAACACATGTGGCCTTATGAGGTGCTAGCTGCTACAGAGTGTGGAAGGTTAACTGAAGGGGGATGGGCTCTCTTTCTATGCAGCTTGGAGAAGGCATCATGCAGGCAGAGCTGAGACTTTCTGATGGCATGGCTGCTTTGGGGTCACCCACACTCCTATAAGTAACTCCTTCCATGTTGTATAAGTAAACCCAATAGATTTGATGGTTTCACATGCTAGACTTGGGCAGAATTGTACTTTGGTCTGTCACCAGTCCCTGTCTGGAGAGATTGAACATTTGTTTGCATGTCCCCAGAAAAATGTCAGCACATCTGGTTTTGATGTTGATGTTAGGGCCCTAAGATACAGAGTCCAAGTTTTATGATTATCCTCAAGCTACAGTCTGTCGGGTGCATTTTGAGAAAAAATTTGAAACACATTTAAGGGGGATCAAACCAAGACACTTATGTTTTATCCTGCCTACATACTATCTAAGTCATCATTTTATATCTTAAAGGCAGTTTCCAACTACCTGTTGTCCTCAAGCTGACTGGAGACTAAATGCCAAGTAGGAGACCCTGCTCCTAGACAGGACTACAAAGCCTAACCTTTTTACTACTTGTTTATGAACAATATGGTAACCTTTGATCTAAGAAATAGGAAACACTAAGAAACAGAATCCTGTTTAATCTTCAAGACCCTATATTTAAAGGATGACTTAATCCATTTCCTCTTGCTATACCAGAACTCCTGAAGCTGAGAAGTTTATACATAAATGTATTTAGTTCTCAGTTCTAGAGGTCCAAGAGTATGGAACTGGCATCTACTGAGCTGCTGCTGTTGAATGTGTGTGTGTAAGATAGGTGTCACATGGTGATGGGGGAGACTTACCGACTTTCAAGAGGCAACTCTTATAGTAACCAATCTAGCTCCAGTTTCTTGACAAAAAAAACTCATGCACTCAGGAAGGTGAAGCTCCCATGACTTAATTAACTCTTAAATGTTCCACTGCCTCCCAACACTGTTCCCCCAGTGAACAGTATTCTAGCACATGAATCTTTGAGGGACACACAGCAATCACAATGAAGAACATCCTGATAAAGAGTGGTAAATAAACAAAGGTCACGTTGCTAGCAGAGGAAAAACCACATAGGCTACAAAGCCTATTATTTGAAGTTCATTACAAAGTTAATGGGTAGCAATGCTGTTTAAAGAGGAAAAGTAAAGTCTGTTGAGTAGCCAGGTGTGCTCAGATAGGATCATGAAAATGAACAGAATCAAGCAGAAAAGAAAGTGCTGAGGAACAATCCCTTTGAACACTGTGAAGATTTGTCACTGTGATTGGTTTAATAAAGAAGCTGCCTGACCAATAGCTGGACCGGATAAAGTTAGGCTGGTTCTAACACTGGGAAGAAGGGCGGAGTCAGAGGAGTCACGAGGAGAGACACAGAAAGAAGCAAGATGAACACGCCATGTTGAAAGAAGGCACTGTCATGCGGCAGTGTGCAGACAAGAAATGTGGGTTAATTTAAATGTAAGAGTTAGCTAGTAAGAAGACAGCCAGGAATTTATACTTAATATTGAGTCTCCTTGTCGGTTATTTGGGAACTGACAGGTGGGGAAGAAAAGTTCACCTACAATAAAGATATGTAGTAAATACAAAAGCATTAATAGGTAAAATCCAGAAATGCATTTCCTTATATAGTTATCTTGTGCGTTTTAGGTAAGCTTAGAAATACATATATTTTGCTCACTTCAGTTGATGACCAATACTAGCTATAATTCTCAAAAAGGGATCTGTCTAGAAAACTCAGTTATTGAAAAAAATTGGAAATTTCAAAATGAAAACTTTCTGGAACAAAAATAATTGGATTTAACTTTTGTACTTCAAAATTGTAGATTTAAGAAATACTGACTAGTCTCTGTCTTGGTGTTTTTCTAGTGTTGGGTATTCAGCAATGAAAGAGCAGCCTGTTTTCATAGAATTTATACTGAAGATGACTAACATGATATGTGACTGGCCCTTCTGATTGGTCCAGAATTGTCAGGTTTCCTCAGATACAGGGCTTCCATTGCTAACTCTGGGAAAAACAACAAATGTTAGTAGTAGCCAGTCGCTCAATCCACAAGGATTCACCTAGCCCTACTTTCATTATCCATGCTCTTATGAACAGTCCTCTTCAGGACATTAAATGAGCTGACCTGCTTTAGAGCATATTGGAGAAATAGTTAGTCCAGGCTAGACCATGAAAAGGCATTGTCACTCTACTTTTTTTTTTAGGAAGCTAATTGTCATCCTATGAAGACAAGTAATCCTATGGAGAGATTCAGTTGTCAAAGAACCAAAATCTTTTGCTATTAGCCATGCGGGGCATTTTTTTCTTTGTTTTTTTTTTTTTTTTTTTTTGGTTTTATGAGACAGGGTTTCTCTGCATTGTTTTGGAGGCTGTCGGTCCAGCCTGGCCTCGAACTCACAGAGATCCGCCTGCCTCTGCCTCCCGAGTGCTGGGATTAAAAGCATGCACCACCACCACCTGGCTTACGCAGAGCATTTCTTTAAGACATAAAACAATTAAAGAGGCAACTCTAAATTATGGAGCCCAGGCTCCCTTTATACTTTCCTTAATGGAATCTTTTGCGTCTCTTAACTTGACACCTAGTGATTGGCAGCAGCTTTGCCGAGGGACTCTATCTGGGGGAGATTATCTGATTTGGAGGGGTGAGTTTCAGGAAAAATGCAGCCAGACAGCCCAAAGAAATGCACAGGCTGGACAGCCCCAGAGAAATGTGGAGATGCTTACTGCGAGTGGTCAATATGCCACCATTCAGCAACAAATGCAATATGACATTGCAGTCTATGCCCAAGTGGCAGCAGCGGCCCAAGGGGCTTGGAAAGCATTGCCTTCCAAGGAAGGAGGGGGTCACCTGTCCAAAGTCCTTCAAAGACCCTCGGAACCTTTTCAAGACTTCGTAGACTGTCTCAGGTAGCAGAAAGAATATTTGGGGGCATTGCAAAGAAAATGCAAATAAGTACTGTAAGGAAGCCCTTCACCCCTATCGCAATAAAAGTCTAAATGACTACATCCCGATCTGTAGGGACATTGATGGGAACTTCATCCAGGGCCAAGTGTTAGCTGATGCTATTCGGCCCCAAGTGGGGAAAGAAAGACCTAATGGGGGGGGGGGACATGTTTCAGCTGTGGTAGGGAGGGACACTTCCGTAGAGAGTGCCCTCAAAATAGTACTACTGTCTCAAGAGACCTGGTTTATGCCCCCGTTGCTGAAGGGGAAAACATTGGGCCAATGACTGCTACTCTAAAACTGACTGGGAGGGAAATTTCCTTCCTGCTAATAATAATCAGGGAAACTGGAAGAGGGACCCGCCCTAGGGCCCCAAAACCAATGTTTACGGGGCAATGACCCATGCTCCGGGCAATGGCAGGATTCATTTTCTCCCCCAGAGTAACCCCTTCATATCTCAGACCTCCTTAGAGCCACCTCAGGGAGTGCAGGATTGGACCTCGATCCCTCTGCCCAGGCAGTCCTAACACCTGAGATGGAGATCCAGGCCCTCCCTACTGGGGTACATGGACCATTGCCCCCAGGCACGGTCGGACTACTCTTGGGTCGGTCCAATACTATCCTTCGAGGCATCCAGGTACACCCCGGTGTTATAGACCAGGATAGCAAGGGAGAGATTAAAATAATGACATCAGTGGTCAGTGGGGTTGTTGCCATCTCAGCAGGAGAGCGGATTGCTCAGTTGCTCCTCCTCCCTACAGCTCCTTGCCAGGCTCGAAAAAATTAAAAAAGAAAGGGGAACCTGAGAGATCGCCCTCAGTTGGAGGGTGGATTGGATTAAATCTCCAGTAAGAAAGGAAAATTGAGAGGTTGCCCTCAGTTGGAAGGTGGATTACATTAAATCTCTAGGCCTCAGCCTGATACCAAGGTCGGGGAAAGAGGGGACCTGAGAGATTGCCCTCGGAGGGTGGATTGTGTAAATCTTAAAGTTTTTGCCTGAGGGAACATCCTCGGTTGGAGGATGGATTGGAAATGGGTGAATAGCCAGGCGTTGGTGGCACACGCCTTTAATCCCAGCACGCCTTTAATCCAACATGCCTTTAATCCCAGCACGCCTTTAATCCCAGCACGCCTTTAAGCCCAGCACTCCCTTAAGACCAGCACGCCCTTAAGCCCAGCACGCCCTTAAACCCAGCACGCCCTTAAGCCCAGCATGCCCTTAAACCCAGCACGCCTTTAAGCCCAGCACGCCTGTAATCCCAGCACGCCTGTAATCCCAGCACGCCTGTAATCCCAGCACACCTTTAATCCCAGCACACCTTTAATCCCAGCACACCTTTAATCCCAGCACGCGGGAGGCACAGGCAGGCAGATCTCTTGAGTTCAAGGCCAGCCTGGTCTACAGAGCGAGTTCCATGTCTCCGAAAAAAAAAAGGTGAATCAAAAAAAATGGTATTAATTCCAGCACTCGGGAGGCAGAGGCAGGCGGATCTCTGTGAGTTCGAGGCTGGGCTGGACCGACAGCCTCCAAAACAACACAGAGAAAAACAAACAAACAAAAAATTGGTAACTGTAAAGAGGTACTGATATCAAGTAAAGAAAAAGAAAAAGACAAAGGTATATGAAATGTTAAATTTTGTTTGCATTTAAGTTCTATTTTGTGAGTCATCTCTAAGAACTTTTGGCCAAAAGCCTGGCCTCTCCACCTTGCATCTACAGAGTTACAAGGAGTAGGTAAGGCTGTACCCTCTGTATCTCAAATGGAGGAATGAGGGGCCAAGAAGGGTGAACCTACTTGACCTAAGATAGGAGTGCCTCATTTGAAAATAAAAAAGGGGGAATTGTGGGGATGACAGACCTTGGCCAGAGACCCACTTCCCCATCAGCCTGGGACATGTTTACTAAAAACAATACAATGCCTGGGGCAAAAAGTTCCTGAAAAGGGCACACGCCTTTAATCCCAGCATGCCTTTAATCCCAGCACGCCCACGGGAACCGCCCTGTCCTCGACCTTTTCCAAAGACTAACCGCGTCTTCAGACCCACCTCCACCTCTGGTATCAGGGTATATACTATATACCAGGGTATATAATAACCAGCCAGTGTAGGAATAAAGGAGAGCCTTTTTGAGGAGCCTTCGGGTCTGTGTTGTCAATCCCCGACCTGGTTTAGCTTTTGGATGCTGAACTAGTATTTCGAGCATCAGAAGCAATTTCACATAGTTTTGCTTTCCGTCGGTATGGCTACTTGCATTTAAACTTTCACACTCGGCTCGGGTTATATTTCTGCGGGGCAGTGGCTAGGCTGTGCTTTTGGCACCCGGCGGGAGAACTTTTCATTAGAGAGCTTAGTCGGGGCCCTTTGCTGCAAAGACTGGGGTGTGGACCCCGCGGTTTCTGGCCACTGGGACGGCGGGCCAGGAGACTCCGCAAGGCCCACGCTGTCGCCACGTTTGATCTCCTGTTCCAGAAGGGCAGGAGACAGTCTCAAGCGAAAGCCGCCGTGCTCAGCACGCCGGGCGCCCACACCCTCCTCCCTCTCCCGTAGTCGCCCCTTTGATCGCGTCACAACGGGACGGCTAAAAGGCGTCATTCAGGCTACGCCTCTGATTGACAGGGCGGACCCAGTATCGCCTAGATAGAAACGGAAGTTCCACCACCCTCCTGGGCGTGGCCAAGGAACGAGGCCGGGACTTCCGGCCCAGCTGCCAATATATTCTCGTGCTGGCTGGATGTTCCCTCAGTGAGCTTCTGGAAGCCGGAAGTTAGGGTGGCTTTTGGGTGGCTGTAGGCGCGGTGGTGTCTTGGGCCACTTGGGAGACTTGAAAACGCTGATCAGCAGGTTCCCGGCCAGGCTGTTGTCTTGCTTCGGGTTTCCCCTCCCCGCCATGGCGACATACACCTGCATCACCTGCAGGGTGGCGTTTCGGGACGCGGAGCTGCAGCGGGCGCACTACAAGACGGACTGGCACCGCTACAACCTGCGGCGCAAGGTGGCTAGCATGGCCCCGGTGACGGCCGAAGGCTTCCAGGAGCGGGTGCGGGCGCAGCGGGCGGTGGCGGAGGAGGAGAGCAAGGGCACGGCCACTTACTGCACCGTGTGCAGCAAGAAGTTCGCCACGTTCAACGCCTACGAGAACCATCTCCGGTCGCGGCGGCACGTGGAGCTGGAGAAGAAGGCGGTGCGGGCCGTGAGCCGGCGGGTGGAGATGCTCAACGAGAAGAACCTGGAGAAGGGGCTGGGCGCCGACAGCCTGGACAAGGACGCCATGAACGCGGCCATCCAGCAGGCCATCAAGGCCCAGCCGTCCACGTCCCCCAAGAAAGTGCCCTCCGCGCCCACGGCAGCCTCCCCGAGGGCGGAGGGCGCCGGCGCCGGCGCCAGCTCCAGCGCCAGCGTGGGCAGACGGGGCGCCCAGGAGCGGGACCCCACGGAGAAGCCGCCCCGGCTGCAGTGGTTCGAGCAGCAGGCGAAGAAGTTAGCGAAGCAGCAGTGGGAGGAGAGCGAGCAGGAGGACGAAGAGGAGGATGAGGAAGGTAATGGCCCGGCCCGGATCGGGGGTGGGGGGGGGGAGGGGGAGGAGGCAGGCACCTGGTCCCGGGATACTTGCAGATGGAGCATTGAGTGCTGGATCCGTTTTATGAATGCTGCCCTTCTGAGGGCTGAGCTGACCCCCCCGTGCACGACAGGGAGGCACCCCCACCGAGCCCCTGCCTGTCCTTCCTGCTTTTGTTTCTAAGCTTTGGGACAGGGTCTCAACTGGTGCCCAGGCTCCCGCTTACCGCAGCTTTCTCGGGAGCTGGGGTAATAGGCCCACGGCATCCTGCCTGGATTTAAGGTTTATGTCTTTTAAATATTGGGCCTCAGTTTTTATGGTTGTCCTCGGCCCCACCAAACTTTGTGAGGACCTGAGGGGAAGAGTGTTTTTAGTGATTGCTTAAACGTCTTAATTAGGGACAAGGCAAGCTTTACTTTTTTTAATTCATAAGTTTTCTTTATATGGTTTGAAGGAAATAGCAAGTATTCGCTGCGTAAAATGATGGGTTTCATTAGAGTGTTTAAAGGGGTTTAAATGCCTCACGGGCCTGCATCTCCACAGGAAATTTTGTCTGTCTGCTTCTCTGTTGTGGATTCGGAGCCTAAAACATTGACTGAAAAAAGAATAAAAGCATAGAGCTGAAATATGCTCCCTTTAATTTGGATGAGGAATGTCACACCTGTGGACACAGAAAGACATGCTATTGGCATATTGCTGTAAAAGTTGTATTTCTAGTGACTTCTGAGAATATTGCATTTAGCTTAGTTGATTAACACTGTTTAACTTAGTTGATTCAAATCGAGTGAGGGCGTCAAACTGCCTGCAAGCCTGAAATGTGCAGGCTCCAACCAGCAAGCAAAGGCTCTTTTACTTTTTGAGGTGTTTATTCCTTCATCCCCACAGCATGGTAATACTGAAAGTTTGTGTTCATGTCTCAGACTGTTTATGCTTCTGTAACAAAATATCTTAAGCCGGGTAATTTATAAACATCACAAACTTGTTTTAGCTGTTGTCGAGAGCCTGTTCCCTGGACAGGGTATTTTCCTCAGACTTTGCCTACATGATGGAAAAGGCAGAGAAGTCTAGGTTGTGTACTCATAAAAAGGAGTCGAGCTAGTTTACTTAAGTCCTTTTCTTAGGCCATCAACCCATTCATGAGGGCTTCTAGAGGCCCCACCCGGCACATGAGTGAGTAAGGTGAACTTTGGACACATGCACTCCCACTGCAGCATTTCATATAGCATACCTGCACATACCATAGTATACATTAAAGTATTCCTGTGAAGTGGAAATGGCCCTGTTACCCAACCAGATAGGAATCCATTTAACTCTCTGTCCAGTACTGAACCAGGCACTGTGAGGCATAGGGGGGAAGTCAGAGACTACTTGATGGAGCTTACCATGTGCTGGAAAAGAAAGGTTAAAAGTTTCTTATCATCCATACTTGTCTGAGGGTAAATAAGTATCTAAAATTGAGGTCTTGAAAGAGAATTTGACTTCAGGGGGACAGGCAGATTGTATTATGTCAGGAAGCATCCTTGTGTCTTCAGTTGTGCTTACTTTACTATATTTTTAAAAGTAAATTTGTTTCTCAAATTTTCTGTCTTGAAGAGTGGGAAGATATTGACTCAGATGATGATGAATTGGAGTATGAAAACCCTGGAGTGGAGGACCAGGATGCGGAAGATGCAGATGCTGGGGAGAGCCCAACCTTAGGCGCCATCCCAATAACGGACTGCTTGTTTTGTTCCCATCACTCAAGCTCCCTCATGAAGAATGTGGCGCATATGACTAAAATCCACAGCTTCTTTATTCCTGATATAGAATATCTTTCAGATCTGAAGGGGCTGATTAAATATTTGGGTGAGTACAGTCATTTCGCTTTAGATGAGGAAATGCTTTTCAATTTGTGAGAATAGTGAAATTTACCTGACTTCAGAAGATTGATTTCATATTTTCCTTTAAATTTTATGACCAGGAGAAAAAGTTGGTGTTGGCAAGATTTGCTTGTGGTGCAACGAGAAAGGGAAATCCTTCTACTCCACAGAAGCTGTGCAGGCACACATGAGTGATAAAAGTCACTGTAAGCTCTTCACAGATGGTGATGCTGCTTTGGAATTTGCAGACTTCTATGATTTTAGGTAAGACTGGAGTTTGGAATATGTGGTCATATTTATACTAAAGTCATAATGTACGATACCTGCTACCCCTTCTAAAAATGAGTTAGGCTCATCATTCAGTGAGCTGTAATATCACACTCAGTTTTGCTCAATATATTTATTCTTAACCCATATTACACGTATCTATACTAACAAGCTCACTTGAACACATCTAGAAAAGTGGAGATCTCTAGCCCAAAGTGAGTGTGAATGACTTGGTTTTATTCTTTGTGATTAAAGTAATTCATTACCTTGTGACTAGACATAACAACAATTTGGCTTCACACTTTGGGTTCCTTGAGAGACTTTGAGTCAAAGACTGTCTGCTAAGGAAATTGAACTTTATGCCAGGTCCTGGCACTTGTATAGTGAGATTATTTCATAAATAGTTCAACTCTAATTGGAATCTTTAGCAGTGCATATGTATGCAAAAGGCATGTTAGGTGTTCATGAATAATTAGTTTCTTTTGTCAGAATTTCTGTAATATAGCATAGTAGTATATGGACAGGTATGTGTAAATACCACATCAAGCAGCCACAGCCCAAGTGATACAGATGGTCAGGAAATTTTAGAACTGTTTTGCCCTCTCTTCCTGGTTTTGTAGTTTGCAATTGAAGATAGCTATTGGATGGCATAATTGGAAGGTTAGCAGTGTTAGCAGTATAGAAAACAGACTGGAGTTTCTGCTAGAGACAGGAAGCAACCTCCCTAAGCAATAGATATTTGTCCCTCTCTGGTTTCCTACCAGATAGCAATGTGTTTGACCTTTAGACTGATTGTCTAATTGGGAGTAGGCTAAGCAAATACCAGAGATAAGTCAGTCAACTTGGTAACTAGCTTGAAATATTGAAGTATAGATGTTCTGATTTCTTTATCTCCATCTGCTTCTTGTATACTTATGTTCCTACTCAGGCTTGTAGATTTCAGTACCTCCTACAGGCTATGACTTCTAATTTATATTTCTAATGCGACCACCTCAACTTCTGACTTTGAAGAAGCTCCTTTAACTTTTTTTTTCTTTTTGGATTTTCAAGACAGGGTTTCTCTGTGGCTTTGGAGCCTGTCCTGGAACTCACTCTGTAGACCAGGTTGGCTTGGAGCTCACAGAGATCCGCCTGCCTCTGCCTCCTGAGTGCTGGGTGCTGGCAATTAATTAAGGAATGTGCCACTAACACCCGACTTCCCTGTAATATTTGTCTTTTGTTCTTCTATACACCCTAACCTAGTCCACATTACATGAATGGTAATTCTGTCCTTCCTAGTATGCAAGCCAATAATTTTTTTTTTTTTTGGTTTTTTTAGACAGGGTTTCTCTGTGGCTTTGGAGACTGTCCTGGAACTAGCTCTTGTAGACCAGGTTGGTCTGGAACTCACAGAGATCCTCCTGCCTCTGCCTCCCAGTGCTGGGATTAAAGGCATGTGCCACCAATGCCCGGCGCATTAATTCTTTAATCAGATCCTGTTTTATATACCTTGAAGTTACCTTCAGTATGTGTGACTGCTTTTCATTTCCTCCACTGTCCAGGTCTAGGTTATCACCCATCGTCATTGAATTTTGTTGCCTGCCTGATCTTTTCATCCTCACCAACTCCTATGTTGCATTCTCAAAGCTACCTTAAAGGATCTTTTTTTTTTTTTTTTTTTTGGTTTTTCGAGACAGGGTTTCTCTGTGGCTTTGGAGGCTGTCCTGGAACTCGCTCTGTAGACCAGGCTGGCCTCGAACTCACAGAGATCCGCCTGCCTCTGCCTCCCGAGTGCTGGGATTAAAGGCGTGCGCCACCAACGCCCGGCCTTAAAGGATCTTTTTATAACATTAAGTGAGATTACATGCTGTTCAAAATATTCCAAGGGCTTACCTTCTTTCTTAAAGTAACAGCCAGAATTTGATGGCCTACAATGTCCTGGTGTTCTAGCTGTGAGTTTGCAGTTTGGATGCCTATTTTTTATTTTTATTTTATGTTTTTTTGTTTTCTTTTCTAATAGATATTCAGGATGTGAATCTCTTGAGTTTTGCCCTTAGCTTTAGCTCACAGAGTCCAGTGACTTTTGTCCTCATTTCCTGAAGGACTCAAATAAATTTCACCTTGTCATTGTGATCTTCCATGATGGTCTTTCATAAAACAGCAATGTTTACCTAATCACTTTTATTCCTTATTACCCTCATAGCCCTTACTGCCATTTTGGGCAATATGTGTTATTGCTGTAGTCTTTTCTTGATGGGATAGCTCCTTCTGTTGCACTGTTTACCCGTATGTTGCTCAGACTGTTGCTAGGAATTAAAGTTGATTACTGATGCAGACGGTTAAAGAGTTTCCTGACTGGGCATGGTTCAGGAGGAAAGCTCTTGGCTAGCTTACTTACTTAAGGTCCTTAGTTTGTTCCATAGTACTTAAGCAGCAAACATCTCAATACAGAATAGCATTTTCTTTGTTTGAATGAATTTTTGTGGATTTGATGTACTCTTTTGGCTCCAAAAATGATTGGTGGTATGAGTCTTTATATAAATAAACACTAAATAATTTATTTGCCATCTAAAACAAAAGTTGATAATGTTTAGTAAGAAACCTTGGAAAGTAGAAAATATTTACAAACAAGGCTAGCATTAATTGAATATTTACTACCTGCTGGGCATTGTTCTCATAAGTACTTTGTGTGGATTTACTAATCTAAAAAAGTGAGCAAATTATGATTCCACCCTTCCAAGATAACTCTTGTCTTGGACTTGGTATTTTCCTTGAGTATTGGAGTTTAGATCACATGTTTTTGAAGTTTATATAAACAGAATAGAAAGAATATATTCTTCTGATATCTTTTGTTCAACTTTTCATTTGGGAAAACTCATCAATTCTGTTTTGCTTTTTTGTTTTTTAAATTTTTTCCTTCAGATTTGTTTTTGTGTGTATGAGTGTTTTAGCTGCATGTTTGTATGTGTATCATATATATGTCCTGTGGCCAGTGCCTACAGAAGTCAGAAGACGGGGGCTCATATCCCCTGAAACTATAGTTACTAATAGTTGTGAACCATCATATAGGTCCTAGGAATTGAACCTGGGTCCTGTGCAAAAGCAAGTGTGTTCTTACCCACTTACCCCTTCTGTTTTATATAGTTGCAGATGATAATTATTTTTTTTTGTAGATTACTAGATTGAATGTTCTTCAGTAGCATATCTGCTCTATATAGATACACATGTGAGTGATTTCCAGTTTTGATCTGATAGAAATAATGCTGCTCTGTCATCCTGTTATTATTTGTAAATGCACATATCTTATTTACAATGGATATTCATGGGAGTTGGGCCATAGGAGATGGACGGACACACACACACACACATTCAATTTTAGAAGATAGTGTTAAATTGTTTTCCAAAGTGTTCTCTGTAGTACCACCATTAGTGAGAGAAAGTTTTTCTTTTTTAGCCATATGGCTGAATATATAGTAGTTTTACTTTATATTTTATTATGACCATTATAATTTACATGTTAGTTAGCTACTTGGAAGTATTTTTCTTTCTGCTTTAGTATTTTATCTATTTTCTATTGGATTGTCTAGGTGTTAATAGTTCAATGTGTATTTGTTTTTTTTGTTCAGTTACTTTTTTTGAGTTTATTGTTTTGTGCATGTGTGTTGCCTGTGTTAAGTAAGTGCACATATGCACATGCCATGTGGAGATCAGAGTTGGTGTTGGATGTCTTTCTTGATCACGTTCTACCTTATTTTTTGAGACAGGGTCTCACTGGGACCTGGAGCACCAATTCACTAGAAGGCTGGCCAGCAAGCTCCTTAGATACTCTTGTTTCCACACCCCTAGTGTTGGTATAGGCAGACATTGCTGTGCTTTGCTTTTTTGTGGGGGCTAGAAATCAAACTCAGTTCTGGCTGCATGGCAGGTACTTTACCTACTGGGCCATCTCCCTCTCACTTTCTAGTTCTTTCCTTCCTTCCTTCCTTCCTTCCTTCCTTCCTTCCTTCCTTCCTTCCTTCCTTCCTTCCATTTATTTATTTTGGTTTTTCTAGACAGGGTTTCTCTGTGGCTTTGGAGGCTGGCCTGGAACTAGCTCTTGTAGACCAGGTTGGTCTCGAACTCAACAGAGATTCATCTGCCTCTGCCTCCCAAGTGCTGGGATTAAAAGTGTGTGCCACCACCACCCGACTCTATTTTTCTTTTGTCCATTTAAATATGAATTTTTGGATATATTTAGAAACAGATTCTTCTAGAACTACTCTGTCCAGTGTGGTAATTAATAGGTATATCCTTGTGGCTATTTAAATGAAATAAAAGATATTAAAATTCAGTGCTTTAGTCGGACTATCTGCATTTGAATAAGTTCAGTATTTGAAAGGCCTGTGTATCTAAAACTGACATGGGCGACACATAGACATATGTCTTTTTGTCATCACAAAATTCCTTAGGGCACAGCCTTTAGAACTTGTTTCTGCTGTGATTAATTGGACTATAACTTCATGTCCAACTCTGTGTTCATGACTTGTGCATTTGGTAACCTTGAGAGAGGAAAACCACACTCTTAAGGGTCATTTGGTCACATTTGTTCAGAGAAATTCTAACAGTTTTATCCCTCAGTCTTTTTTTCAGTGGGCATTCCCTGAAGCTGGTAGTAGTTTTGCTCCATTTGCAAATGCAGATGTCTATTCATTCAAGTCTGTTTATTAGGACTATTTCATTGTTACAGGAGAAGCTATCCAGATTACAAGGAGGGGCAGGACCCTGATGAAATTGAGGAGTTGTCCTCAGAAAAGACTATGGAATATGATGATGAAACCATGGAGCTGATACTTCCTTCTGGTAAGTGTATTTGTTAGAAAGAAATAGCTTAATGCATGTGTGTTGTGGAAGAAACATATCTTCTTCAATTACCTGCTGATCCAAGGGAAAAAATCATGACCCTTAAAGTGTTTTTGTGTTCTCAAGTACTTGTGAACTTTAAAAGTAACTATTTAGCTCTAAGTTGGCTTTGTCATTAAAACTGGTTGTTGTTTTTCCTTGTTTCTTCTCAGGTTTAGAATATTTTACTAGGTATTTCCTTGCTTTTTGTTTTTTGTTTTTTTAATATATACTGATAGATCCCGCATACTCTCTCTCCCTTCTGTGTATATGTATATATATCTTTTTCCTTGTGTCTGGTGTAAGTGTGTATACATGGGCATGTAGAGGTCAGAGGTCAACGTTGGGCATCTTCTTGAGTTGTTCTCCTTGTTTGGCAGTTTTTCACTGAACCTATAGCTCACCAATTTGGCTAGACTGGCCAGTAAGTTCCAGGGATCCACTCCTCCAGCTCTGGGGTCGCAAATGTGTGGTAGCATTTCCAGCTTTTTACCTAGGTTCTGGGTGTCTGAATTCAGGTCCCGCCTACACAACAAGCACTTTACCAACTAAGCCATCTCCCTAGGCTTTCTCTCAGCTTTCCTGTCTTTTTCTGGTGCTTGACCTGGCTTTTGTGGGAACCTATTCCCCATGATAGGTTTCCTTGCCCAGCCTTGACACAGGAGGAGGAGCTTGATCCTGTCTCCATGCTTTGTTGATGCCCATGGGAGGCCTGTCCCTTTCTGACCGGAGAGGTAGAGGAGGAGGGGATGGGGAGAGGGGGAGAGGTGAACTGGGGGAGGGAATAGGAGGAGAGGAGGGAGGGGAAACTGCGGTCGCTATGTAAAATAAATAAAAATGTAATTAATAAAAATTTCACAGTGGTAAAAGGGTGAATATAATCACAAAACAAACAACAAAAACAAAAAACTTCTCCTAGCTTTTAGAGAATAAGAAATTCCTCCAGTCTTCTGTGTCTGTGAGAATTGAAAGTACTTGGAGAAATAGCATTGTCATGCCCTGTTTATTCTAGAATTGAGAGTAGTGTTTGACATGTGAAACACTATAATGTTGACTTCATTTTGTATCTGCTTTGGTACATTTTATTACACATACATGTAACAGGAATATCCTATTTGAGAATCACTTCATCTGGGCTTTATGTTTTTGAAAATTGGTAAGGAATATTTAATTATGTAGAAAACACAGTGAAGCCCCCAAACGGGTATCTTTTTAGGAAACTTCTTTTCCCATTCAGATAATTGAGCAATTCCTAAATGTCTTTTAAGCAATTTTCTCCTGAGGCATTTGTCTGTGTGGTCATTTTGTCTGTCACCATTTTCATCTGACTATCATCTATCTGGTTTCTTTACAACCGGGAGCACCTTCTTTCTAAAACTCGAGTATATTTTCTTTACCCTCTATGGTTCCTCATGGCGAGCCACTGCTCTCAAGGTATGTATGTGAGAGTTTCTGGTCCCTCTTGCCACATAGAGACTCCTCTGGGTCTCTATGAATGGTGCCTCTGGTACTCTACTCCACAACAAGGCTCATCTTGGTTTTACCCCTCTGGAGATTATCCCTGAACCTCTCCTCTGCTCCTAGAATACTTGCGCATCTGTTTGGTAATTTGTTTACTCCTTTGTAATTGTTGTCTTGTCTGCCTCTTCCCTCATCACCTTTTAAAAACATGCATATATTTTAAGTGAATACATATTAATTTTACCTATCCAGGAGCTACAATGTGTCATTTCAGTGCATGCATAGAATATATAATGATTCTGCCAAGGTAGTTATCATCTTATACATAGTATTTTTGGGAACACTAAAATTCTCCCTGTTGGCACTGTTGAAATAATTGTGCTCTATCATTGTTAAGGTACGGACATACTGTGCTATAAAACTGAAGGGATTCTGCCTCTAAACTCCCATTACTTTAGAGAGCAGACTGCCCTTTCTCTTTATTACTGAACTCAGACACATAACAACAGGATACATATTTGTTGACTGAGAGGGTGGAAGTGGCTTTCAAAGGGAAGACAAACTTGGTCCCTTGAGTCTGTAGTAGGAAAACAGAGTTCAGAAGGAAAGGGAAAAGTGAGCAGAGGAGGCTTGCAGGAATTTGGAATCGGTCATACTTGATTTTCTCTTTACAGGGTTGTAACAACTCAGAACATAGAAATCTCTGAGCAAGCATTATATAAAAATATAGTGCCAGCAAGGGGATGAGCCTATTGTTTCTGCACAAACGATCCCGGGATCTCTGGATCTCTGGGTGCTCACTTGGGTGTTTGGGTTAGCATGAGTGTTAGTGTAAAGCCAGTTTGTGAAAGATCATACATCTAAGAGTTTGCTTTAAACTGGCTTCCAAAGCATCAATTGTGGTCCCTGAAGGTAGATAGATACTCAGTTATAATTTAGTAAAATCAGCTAGATGATTCCAAAGACAATGAAAAATTACCCAGTAGAGGGCGCTCTGAGCATTTCTCTGGACAATTGTGAAGTAATTCCTTCATTCTTCTTCAGTTCATATGGAGGAAATTGATGTGAAAGATACATTGATTTATTTGCCAGCTGGCCAGATGAAACTGGCGTTGTATCCATGAGAAACGCACAATTAATTTTAGGAAACTAGAGTTGGAATACTCTAGTATCTAATGTTAGTTGCATTGACTGTTCAGCAGGAATGGATAGTTTCATAAGCAGTTACATGACGAAAGCTGGATGGACAGGAATTTCTTAAGTCAGAAATCTAATCTGTTCAAGGTTGAGCTGCTCTTAGCACTTTCTGTGATATTGGTGCCAAGTTCTCACTGTAACTGACAGTTCCCAGAAGTTGTCAAATGTATTTCCAAATGTTGCTTATGAAGATGCATAGTTATTTACTATGTGCTAATTACCAATCTTAGTATTTACTCAGTTAGGGTTAAACCCCCCTGACCGCACATTGTAATTTGGAAATCCCACTAAATAATGCTGAGATTTTCTGAAAGGACCTTCATTTAGTTATGAGTCTTTTCCCATTAAATTCATCTCACATGGGTGTCCCCTGATGTTTTCCTGATTTGAGACACAGGTGCAAACCAAGGTCTTGCCATAAAAATGCCGAAAGCATCAAACAGCTGAGTTCAGAGAGATAGATACTTTCATTCATCTATACTGGTATCTGAAGACCACATGATTAAATTTGAAGGTTCCTTTTGTCATTACCTGAGTCTGATTACAAAACATTATATCTGGATGGCAAGGTAATATTTTCTAAGTGCTATGCCAGGTACAGGAACTCAACATAACTTGACACTTTTTTCCATCTTAGTCCAGACATAGATCCTAAAGGCAGATAAAGCCTTCTGAAGCTTATGTTATAGACAGTTCATGCTTGCTTATTTATAAGTTAGTGGTAAATTGACAACTGCTCTAAGAACTATACACAGGATTTTATCCATCCATGTTAGTTTATTTTCAGTGGGAATGACTATTTCATTTTTTGTGTATGTGTTAAATATCCTATGTGTTTCTGTTTGGAAAGTTACTTGATTGCCTATGTCCTAATTAATATTCTTCTACAACACATAGCTTGCTTTTATTAGTAAATCCACAGGTGATGTGGATGCGACTGGCCTAAGGACCAGTCTTTCATGGTAGTAAGGGCAAATCACCTTGGAAACCATCCCTCTGATGGTGCCTAGAGTTAGCTATCTTGGAAGCTTGCATTATTCTTCAGAGTAGTTTTCCTACTCTGAAGCCATATGATTTGGTTATTTCCCTGTTAATAATCAGAAAGCAATAGTTTAGTCTTTGTGTGCCAGTGTCCCTAGTAGCTATTCAAGTTGACTTTGTAGCACCAAGGCTGCTAGAGACATGGATGAGTGTGTTCCATGAAAACTTACAGACTGGTGGAATGGATTTGATCCTCTAGGAGTTTAACTCTTGATCATGTTAGACGTACCTCACTTTTAAGTAGGAACCTCAAATTGTTCCTCTAGTAAATAATTTACGCTAGGATTTTATTAGTCTAGTTATAGAAGTTCCAGACTTTCTATGGTTAATACCTTTGTCCCTTAGATTTCTAACTTGACATTTGTGTTCTCTTTTCTTTGTTTTAAAATTTTATTTACTATTATTGTGTGTGTGGGGGGATGTGTGTGTGAATGTGCCATGGGAAATATGGGAAGGACAGAGGACAACTCTATCGGGTTGATTTTTCTCTGCTCATCTTACTGTGGTTGCTGGGATTGAATTCAGGTTGCTGGGTCAGCACTGCATGAACCTATACCTGCTGAGCTATCTCTCTCTGACCCTCTGTCTTTTTTGCTGAATATATTATTACACAGTTGATGGTAGGTCTATGCAATGATATATACAAACATGTAGTGTAATGACATCAAAATATATTGGAAATTAAAATTAAAGCTGGTCTATTTTTCTCAAAGCTTGACTGACCGACTTATACTGTTTCACTTGATTTCCCTAAATAATCACAGACTTGGAAGAGAATTTAACTTAATTTTTTTTGAGGTAACCAGGTGGTTCCCATCATTTAGGAAGGAACATCTCAACTTTGTCAATATGGCCAGATAACAATTTACTGTTGGTGGTCTGCCTGTGAACATTACTATGTTGAGTAGCATCTCTGTTCTTCAGCCACTAGATGCCAGTAGCACTCCAGCTGGAACAGTAAGATGTCTACAGCGGGTGTCAGATGTTCCCATGGGGTAAAATTCACTCCTGTTGGAGGACCACTAGAATAGAAAACTGAGCCAGAGAAAAGATGGTTTTTTTGTTCTGCCCTGACTATGACTTGTAGACCTAAAGCCAGGGCTATTCCCTGCTTGATCTTCTTTCTCTTAGGGATTTTTTTAATCCTTTATCTCTATTTTTAATGCTGGTCTATTTTCTCTAGTAGATAAACACTGTCCTGATGACCTCTGTCTTCCTGCTAGGTTTTGTAAGGCTTTGATGGCCTTGAGATCTTTTGGGAAGTCTTTGGATATAGCTCTGACTTGGAGGAACTGTGTGATTCAGTATTTGAATGTTGCTCTTTTGAAAAACAGGTGCCAGAGTGGGTCATCGCTCCTTGATGAGATACTATAAACAACGATTTGGCTTGCCAAGAGCTGTGACAGTTGCTAGAAACCAGAAGGCTGTGGGCAGGGTACTCCAGCAATACCGAGCCCTGGGGTGGACAGGCAGCACAGGTAAATCGATGCTCATCTCCCTGGATTTCATGGACTTGGGTGACATGTTCTCATTTGGGGTATACTGAGTCTTCCCCAAGGGAAGGCTGGCTTCTTAGCTCTGGGACTTCCATTATCAAATGACTCTTAGGGCAATAAGTCCAAGACATATTCTTATATACTTAATATTCCCGGCTTAGTAACTTAATATACATTGTGTTTATAACAATAATTACAAAAAGAATACTTGGGAATCATTACAAGCTGAAACTATCTGGAGGTAACACAGGAATTAAATAGTATCTTAGTGTTTAATAGCTTGTCTGTGGAATCTAGCATGACATGTGTAATCATGTGCTATAATAAACTCTTATATCATGGACATTATTAAATTTCAGTTTCTATTTGTCCGTTTATACAAGGGAAATGATTAACAGGACCCAGCTTAGAGTTGAGAGACTTAACTGTCATGATGCATGTGTGATGTAGTGCACGCACTACAGGTTTGTCGTCTGCCCTCGTTGGCCATTTTTCCCAATAGAAGTAGATTGATATGAGTGACAATGACAGTTGAAGTTACTTAGCTTTGAAACCGCAGTGTGCCATTGCTTTACTCTTATAATGTGCTGTACAGAGTTGTCTTCTTGCTCTTCTGGGACATAACAGTCTAGTTGGGGGTGGTGAAGATAAGAGGGCTGGCTTTCTGATGTCCTGGAAAGCTCTGGTGCCTAAAAGCACTGCAAACTCCACCGTTTACAAAGTTCTGATACACAGTTCTGGGTTGCATGGAGACCTCTGAGCTCCATTGCTTAGAATCCCCACATTCGTGTCTGTCTTTAAACATAAGAGCCCACTTACCCTGCTCCAACTTTGGAAATTCTCTACAAAGATTTGACTTTCTCTGGCAAATAATGACCCTTGCCTCATTTCCTACCTCCTTCCAACCACAGGAGCAGCTCTGGTGCGTCAACGGGACATGCAGTATGTCCAGAGGATGAAATCCAAATGGATGCTGAAGACGGGAATGAAGAACAATGCCACTAAGCAGATGCACTTTAGGGCCCAAGTGCTATTCTGAGAGACTGAGCTTGAGAGATGTCTCTCATTGCACTTTCCTCCCTGTTTGAGGACCAGTGAAGTCAGATTGTGGAATGATCTTGTGCTGCTACATCATTTGTTTTGATCTAATAAAGTCAGAATCATGTTAGTCATGTGTCTAGCTCATTACTTATATTGACTGGTTGTTCTACTATGTTGTACTTACTCCTTCTGCTAAACCAATAATTTGGTTGTTTTTAACCATGTCAGGGCTGGTAACTTGTACCTCCAGCTTGTACTCAGTTGTATATACACACCTTTTTTGGTTATCTTTTCTTCTTCCTCTTCCTCCTCCTTTCTTTCATGTCTTCTTCCCTCTCCTTTCTTCTTACCACTGGAGTAGAAGACAATGGTTTTTGTTTGTTTATTAGCCTCTCAAATACCAATACTACCTCCTTTTTTTTTTTTTATTAGCTATCCCTTTTTATCCGCCAGGAGAGTATTTGTTCTGATTTTGGGCTTATAGTGCAACCTAGTGTCTCATTTCTGGCCACATAGTTTTATAAAACTTAATTTATTTGCCTTTTTGCCTTGTGTGGAGACTTTCTTCCTGGGATTAACCCCAGGACCAGACATGGCCCTACCATGTTGTCTTATGTGATTTTATCTTGAGACATCAAGACTGAATCACAACTGAGACAGCATAAGTTCGTTCCTCTCCTTGCATGTTGCAGAGGCACCTGGCAGCCTGGTTCTTACTGCCCATCTCCAGAATAGACACTGTGTTGATGTATTCTTTCTGCATTTAGTTCCACAAATTCATGTTTTACTTAGTATAAGTATATTGTTTGATTCTTCACTGTAAGGTGTATTATTGCTGTTTCACAGAGGAAGAAATAGACTCAGAGAAGTTCTACAACATTTTAAAGGAGACAATAGAAACCTTAGGTGATTTCTAGCTCAACTTTATTAATACGGCTGCATTCTTGGTCCCAGCTAGGCCCTGTTTCCCCAAGCTTCACAACAGATTGTAATGGTGTGACTGAATTCTAGCCAGTGGTGTGCACAGGGAGAGGGTGGTATAGTTAATTGCAGATTAGCCCTGAGATAAACTGCTTAGCTAGGTTCTGCCTCTTTTTCTCCATAAGTTGGAATAAAGTGTAGAGTCATCCATACAGATAAGGGTGATGCCTGAGGGGTGGCAGAGCAACAGTATGAATGGAACTATGAGTCTCCAAGTGATGGAATAAAGCTATCTTGCCAGCTGGTTAACCTAAGAGGAAGTGAAGCCATAATGGTGTGGAGTTTCAATTAGTAGCTTAATATGTACTCTAAGTCCCCAAGTGCTAACCTAAGAGTGTATGTAATGCAAATTTATTTAAGATACAGTTGGTAGTATTAACTATTCCTGTGTGACTTTTTGAACTGAGGTGGGTTTAGTTCTTATACAGAGCTTAGTTTAGAGACAGTGGTGAATAAGTACCACTTACAATATTGGGGATTTTCTCAGAGCAGTACATAACATACATACATACATACATATGTTGGGGGCTGGGGTTCATTTCATTTTACACTTTGTAGATCATCCTCTGGGGAAGTAAGGGCCTGAACTTGGAGGCAGAAGCTTGGTTTAGAAGCCATGGAGGAATGCTGCTTCTTGGTTTGCTTAAGACTCGTTCAGCCTACTTTCTTGTAGAACCTGGGACCACCAGCTCAGAGGTGGCACTACCCACAGTGAGGTTGGCCTTCCCACATCAATCAAGAAAATGCCACAGGCCAATCTAAATGGGAGCATTTTGTCATTGGAAGTTTCCTTTTCCAAAATGACTCCAGTTTGTATCAGGTTGACATAAAAGTAGTCAGCACATGGGGTAATTGATTTTTCCAACAAGATTACAAAGAAAAGCCTGTGTGTATCGGGATCAGATTCCCTGCACGAATCCTCAGGGTGGACCGTTTATGAGTTTCTCAGGATGAAGCCTAAACTACAGTGGAGACCCCAGCATAGAAATTCAGGGCAATGTTTTTATTGTCTCAATTTTCTTCTTTGTTTCGGGACATTGCAGACAAATATATTTTCATTAATTGCATGACAAATACTCTACCACTTGCTCCATTGACTCCTTGGTCTGCCTCCCCTTGAGGGGAATCTGGACCGCCTTACTTTTATAGTAAACTGAAGAAGCAAGGCTGTTGGTGTCCAGAGATAGTCATTAAAAAGCAACTTGGATTTTATTTTCCTTCCTTGGACTCTTGACCATGCAAGAGTCTGACTATCCTGAGGAGTTCATAATGTATGGAGTCCCAGGACTATCCTGAGGAGTTCATACTGTATGGAGTCCCAGGCCTCATGAAAATGGGACATGTTTTGGGTGATAGTCCCACATGAAGTCCCATCTAATGGCCAGCAACTGCCATCATTTGAGTACCTTGCATGTGACTTCACATAACAACAGCCCCTACCAGTTCCCAAGCATAATTTCAAGATAAAGCCGAGCAAAAACTGCCTGCGAGCCTTTCTCAAATGAACAACGGAATCACCATTATAACAGGTGCTTGACACTAATTACTACATTACTCCATTGAACACTAGTAACTAGAGTGCATTGTTCATGAATTCTTTGTCTTCTACTTCCTACCTTGTGTGGAGTTTATCAATATGTTTCCAAGGTCCAGGATTTGCACATAAGATACTATCTTAATCTTCATGTCACACTTACAAAATAGTTTTACAGCTAAGGAATTTCAGGTTTAACAACCCAAAGTCACACTGTTCTTAGTCACTATTCTCATCTGTGCTGAAATATGAGAGCTTCCTGGAGTCCAAATTTTAGATTATGGTCAAACATTGTAACTGGTTGAAATCACTACCTACTCACTGCTTCATTTAGTCTAGAGTTCTGATTACATGTAAGAGTCTTTACTCAGTGGTACAATATAGAACACAGTATTTGAAAACAGGAAGACCATTTCTTCAAATTGGGTTTGATAACCACTCTTCTGGAAGCTGTCCACAACTAGTAAGGTGTGGTTTTGATTGTTTATTTTTTTCTGCATGAGTGTTTTGCCTGCCTGTATGTTGTGCACTGTGCATGCCTGTTGCCTGTAGAAGTCAGAAGAGTTACAGATGATTGTGAACCATCATGTAGGTGCTGAGAATCAAATCTGGATCTTCTACAAGAGCAACAAATGTTGGACCATCCCTATAACCCAAATGTATTTGTTTTAGTACTTTCTTAGTAAGCACAATACATTTCTTAGAGGAACTAAATATACATTTAGCATATTCCTATATTTAATAAACCTATATTAAGATAATTAAAACTAAACCCAAATTGTATTTCTTAAATCTATAATTTTGATTTCATTAATTCCAAACCCTGGCCTAGAGAGTTAGCTTAGCAGTTAAGGAGCACTGGTTGGTCTTCCTTAGGACCCAGGTTCAATTCCCTGTACCCATATGGTGGCTCATAACCATCCATAACTCGAGTCCTAGGGGAATTCAATGCCCCTTTCTTGATTCTGCAGACACTGCATACATTTGTTACAGATAAATATTCAAGAAAAACACCTATACACAAAATATTTTTATTCCAAGTTCTGCATTACTCATATCACTCAAGTTTTTTTTTTTTAATTAAACACCACATCTGGCATTCCAGTCTCAATACCATAATACCATTCCACTTGGAGTCACATATCTCCGGTATGTTGGTTTCTTCACTTCCCTTTTACCAAACACAGTGTCTGCAAATGTGGAAAGTGAGATTCTAAGTGAAAGATTTTAGAGCTTGTGAGGGTGTTTTTATATTGTGTGTTGTGTGAGAGTGAAAGTATTGACAGTAAACAGTGAATGGAAACTTTTAACTTGGAATGACTCATCCCAAAATGTCTTTCATATTTCTACCAAGTAAGTGAAACTGGGTCAATTTAGGAAATATTCTCCTCCTTCATCTTGAAACTTGGGGTGGGATTCCTGGACATACTTACATGTATATAATGTGAAAACACAGCAACAATGCTAAGAACTCAGTAAGATGCTATATGTGATTTATATGAACTCATTTCATCTCTAAACTGTCCTGTGGACACAAAAGAATTGGGATGACTCCAGGCATCTAGGCTACAGACACAGCTCTTGCACTACCAGCTGTTTTGTTATTCTTTTAAGTTCAGATCTTGGTAAGACCCCTTGTTTGTGATGATTGTGGCTATCACGCATTATAAATTATGACAACATTTTAAAGTGTGTATTCAAAAAGTAATAAAACCAGGGCTGGGATGTAGCTCTGTTGCTAGAGTGCTTGCCTGTCATGCAGGAAGCCCTGAATTTCATCCCTGTACTGCATGAACTGAGGATGGTGCCCCACATCTGTGATCCAAGCACTTGGGAGGTAGAAGAAGGAGGATTAAGAGTTCAAGGTCAGCATTTACTACATAGCAAGTTCATAGCTAGCCTAGACACATGTATCAAAAAAGAAATAGCTATTTGTTAATATTTTTACATGAAAAATCACCTGAAACTATAGTGAGATGAGCAGTTTTAAATTACTTTAAACTGTTTTGTGGTGCTATAGCAAAATCCACAGACCAACTTGTGAAAAAAGAAATTTATCTCACAGCTCTGGAGGCTGAGTTCAGTATTAAGGTACTAGCCATCTAATCTGGCAAAAGACTTTTATGGTATAAGTGAAAGATGAAGAGAGTCAAACCTGCTCTAGTAAACTCACTCTTGCAACCTTAGACCCACCCTGACAGCAGGATTAACCAGTTCATAAGGACAGAGCCTCTTAAAGGTCCCAATACTGTTGCAGTGGGTACTCAACACATGCATTTTGGAGGACACATTCAAACAGTGCATAGCATTTTATGACCAGTCCTGTCCCAAGTTAATGTATTCACAATGTACAGTCATTCCATCCAAGTAGCTCCCAAAGACTTATCCAGCAGTTCTTGTGGACTGGAATCCCTGGATGTAGCTTTCCCAGACTTCAGATATACAATTGTCACTGTGCACATTGTGGTCCCTAAGGCTGCCCAAGTCCAAAGGCTACCAGACATTTACCCCCGGGAATTTTCTTTATTAGTTTTGCTCTTACAGATCTCTAGACTCTGTCTTAATGGGTACTCTCTGCCACTGTGTTGTCTCAGCTTAGAGCTGTTAGGTCG